GTAAGGCCGAACAGGGTATAGGGTTACAGCCTGTACTGGATGGGGTTACACTCCCCCTGAAGTCGCAGGTTCGCAGCTTGGGAGTGATCCTGGACTCATCGCTGAGCCTGGAACCCCAGGTCTCAGCGGTGGCCGGGAGAGCTTTTGCGCAATTAAAACTTGTGCACCAGTTGCGCCCGTACCTTGGGAAGTCTGATCTGGCCACGGTGGTCCACGCTCTTGTTACATCCCGAATAGACTACTGCAACACTCTCTACGTGGGGTTGCCCTTGAAGACTGTTCGGAAACTTCAACTCGTTCAACGAGCGGCGGCTAGATTGCTCACCGGAGCGACATACAGGTAGCATACCACCCCCCTGCTATGCCAGCTCCACTGGCTGCCGATTCAGTTCTGAGCACAATTCAAGGTGCTGGTTTTGACCTACAAAACCCTATACGGTTCCGGTCCAGTATATCTGTCCGAACGTATCTCCCTCTACGTCCCACCTCGGAGTTTGAGATCATCTGGGGAGGCCCTGCTCTCGACCCCACCACTCTCACAAGTGAGGCTGGTGGGGACGAGGAGCAGGGCTTTCTCAGTGGTGGCCCCTCACCTGTGGAACTCACTCCCCGGGGAAATCAGAGCATCACCATCCCTCCTCTCCTTCAGGAGGAGGGTGAAAACTTGGTTATGGGACCAGGCCTTTGGGCAACCAGGCAATTAAAGACCAGCAGGATGGACGAAATGGTATTAAAAGCGGATCTATGAGACAGCAAACACTGACAATGTAAGGGAGGAATTTAGGTTTGTATTGATTTTATTGATTTTATTGATTTTTATTGGAATAATGCATGAAGATGTTAGTAATTGTGAATTTTACTGTAAGTTGAGATGATTGTTGTGATCCTGGCATCTAATCGTGCCTTTACTGTGTAAGCCGCCCTGGGTCCCCTTCAGGGTGAGAAGGGCGGGGTAAAAGAACCCCAAATAAATAAATAAATAAATAAATTGGAAACTGGCCGATAGTTGTCTAATTGAGTAGGGTCCAGTTATGGTTTTATCAACAGCGGTTAAAGAAAAGATTAAATATGTATGCAACATGACATGAATATTAGAAACACATGGGGGAAAAGAGTAAAGTAATACCATGGGATGTGATCTGGAAATCATAAGGAAAAATGTATAAGTGTATGTTAATCATGATGCTGGGTTTTTTTTCTCCTTTTTTTTCTTCTCTTTCTCTTTTCTTTACTCTTCATTCCTTTCTGTCCCTATACTCCCACTTTTCTTTTTATGATGTTCACCTACTTTCAATGTATAAAAACCAGTATCTTAGGTATGTATAAGATATTTTAGTTATTTGTGTGTCCATTAAGTTTTTGTTTAATATCATTTATGTTATTCACTAATAAAAATCATTATATGTGTGTGTGTGTGTGTGTTATCCAGCCTGAAAACTGAGAAGGAATTACATTTGAAAGAAAAGGAAAGTAAGGTTGCTTACCTGTAACCATGTTTCTTTGGTATACTGGGCAGGTTTACTTCTTCTGACAAGGATTTGATCCATGAACAGTGAATTGAACTGTGAATTTTCTCAACTGTCTGCAGTGTGCTTGTACCAGTGACAGGTGTTCTATTTCCTTGACTAGTGCTTTGCAATTAATTCATCTTTCCTATAATGAAATAGCCACTATATATGTGTGCGTGCGTGTGCGTGTGCATGCGTGTGTGTGTGTGTGTGTGTGAATTATAATACATACTTCTGATATTTTTGTGCGTCTCACACCACATGGTTCAAATGTTGGCTTGTCTTCCTGCTCTGTTGGGGTGCTGGGGTGAAAATAAGAGTGAAACTGTAATGATAGCCAACTACTTTTGGCCTTGAGAATTATAACTGTAAGCATTTTAAAGCTAAACCTCCCAAGTTCTGAAATATTGCAGCATGAGAGGTTATATTATGACAGAGACATTAAAATACTACACACATATTGTAAAACAACAACAACAATATCCACAACCATAAAACATGTTTTTCATTATTTAGAGGAAGGAAACAGTCCTTCTTTACAGTGCTATGTGGATTTAATTAAAGCTAAAATGTCATTCATGTATATATCACACACTTTTTTTCTCCAAGCACAGATGTCTGTCTGGTGCCAATATGCTGTTTATGTACTTATCTGTCTCAAGCACATGGCCAGGCACATATGCCCTTCTGGCAAAGAAACTCTGTGCAGTCTGAAACCCATATTAGACTGATAATGAATAATATGCATTTTTAAAAGGGGGGAGCAGAAAGAAGGGTGTTTTTTTTTGGTAACAGCATGTTTTGGAGCTGCCTTTGAATTGCAAAATGAGAGTCAGAGGATTTGTTAATATGCTGGCATCTGTGAGACCTGAAAGGAAGCCTGAAAAGCAACTGGATTTTTCACAGGTTTTGGAAGGGGTGTTTTTGGCACCGTGGTTATTCTAATTCCTAGTGACGTATAAGAGTGTGACTGCTGCTGAGGAATTCTGAAGAGCTGAAGCAGATGTTTGGCCTAAACAGCATGAATTCTAATTCAAAATGTGGAGAAGAATATTCACCTGGTTTGGCACAAAGACCACCATTGCCCTTAGCCTCTACATATGTATTTTCTACGGTCTTGTCCATAGTAGCATATGATCCAAACCATGAGAACAGAGACATTTTGCAGATTCTGGGAGTGATGAGCAAGAACTCCTAAAGTGGACTCCTGCCAGCCATCAACAGTTACTGTGAAATCTAGTAACTTGAGAAAAAGGATTTAATTAGAGGGCTGGGTTATTTCAAACCTTTATCGAGCTAATAGCAATTACTTAAGTTGTTCTTGACTATACTCAAGCACTCTAAACCACCAAAAACAAAAAACAAAAAAACAAACACTTCAAATTTAGCAAAAACTGGTCAGTTTCAAGAATGACTAATAGTCCCTCTCTAATCCTAGATGTGTAAAGGCTGAATATTATTTATTAACTTACAAAGAAAGGTATACTTTTTATTATTCATTTGGCTGTGGAAGTGCCACCATCATATTCAAAAGCCAGAGTGATTGTAACTATTTAAAACAAGAGTTACCAAACTAAGACCCATAGGCCAAATCTGCCTCCCCAGGTCTTTTCCCCAGCCCCCACAACTACCACCATGCACACACTCATGCATGGCTGGTGAGTTCACACATGGCATGTGCATGAACACACAAGTGGCAGCAAGTACATGTGTGCTGTAAGGGTGAGTGTGAGTGGCAGTGAAAGTGATTGAAGTCTGCCCCCCCCCCCAACAGTTTGAGGGACCTTGTATCAGCCCTACACTTAATAAGTTTGATGATCCTTGGTTTAAAGTTATGTTTCAAACACAGAGAACAATTGCCATCTAAAGCAATGATTTTGAAACTATATGAGGTGCTGAATTGACAGAGATTACCAATATGCCATAAGATGGCACCATATTTTTACCTATTGACTATTACTATTTTTTCTTTCCTGGAGATTGATAGCTAACAATTTGTGGACTAGCAATGTAGTAGGACTGATTGAGACAACACAGTGTACACGTTTAAAACAATACTTACCCTCTATTGCTTCCCCTTTAATGATGTCTGACAAATATTTATCTCTAAAGGTATGCCCCCATCTCTTAATTAACTCACAGAACAATTGCCATTGTTATATTGATGGATTAAAGCCATCACAGTTAAATCAGCATCTTCAATAAGGTGAGTAAGCCATTTTTATTATGTAGTGCTGAACAGAGAAGGATAAGTACTACAGATTTAAGTTAGCATTGTTTTAAAATATTAATGCCACTCTCTTCCTGTACTTTTATCTACATTCACCTTTTTTCTGTGCCCAATTATTTCATCCATCTGGTTCACAATTTAGGAACATTCTTCCTTTAGAATTCTATCTATCCAATTGATCTTTGAAGAAGCAAACCATTCAATATTAGAATTCCTTTTAAAAACCAACACTTGTAAACATATTGAACAAAACTGTAAGACTTCAGCAACAGATGGGAAAGCAAGACAAACAGATGGAAAAACTTCATTTCCAAAAATGGGGCTGGTTGGAGAAAGATTGATCTGTAAAATCTAAAGTTACTTTGAATAAGTATTTCATTGTTGAGGATCTGTAGAATCCTACATTTATAACAAAGTCCGTGGCTGGAATTTGTTAAACTCAAATTATACATTTATGACTCATTCATCTTCACAATCTTTATGTATTCACTAGGGATCCCTATGTGTTAACTCACTAAGGGAATATATAGTTACCATAAAGTCCCATACTTCTTCCTTATTGGGCAGCAACCATACTGAGCAACAAGTGCCTATCCCCTGTCAAGAAGCAGTTAACTGACATTTTAACCCCCATCCCATGGTGGTCTTTTATACCAGTGTTTCTCAAACTATCCTCCTCCAGGTGTTTTGAACTTCAACTCCCAGAAATCCCAGCCAGCTTAACAGCTGTTAGGAATTTTGGGAGCTGAAGTCCAAACATCCAGAGGAGCACAGTTTGACAAACTCTGTTTTATACATATGAACAAAGATCCTGCTTCTCATGTTAGGAGCTGGGAATGTCAATCAACTGCTTCCCCATCAAAAGGGAATAGATCCCACTTGTGTGTTCATGCACATGCCATGTGTGAACTCACCAGTTGTATAAATACGTGAGAGGAAGCCACAGGGAAGAGGGAGCAAGCTTGTTTTCTGCTTCCTTGGAGACTAGGATGCAGAACAATGGCTTCAAACTACAAGAGAGGAGATTCCATCTGAACATTAGGAAGAACTTCCTGACTGTGAGAGCCGTTCAGCAGTGGAACTCTCTGCCCCGGAGTGTGGTGGAGGCTCCTTCTTTGGAAGCTTTTAAGCAGAGGCTGGATGGCCATCTGTCAGGGGTGATTTGAATGCAATATTCCTGCTTCTTGGCAGGGGGTTGGACTGGATGGCCCATGAGGTCTCTTCCAACTCTTTGATTCTATGATTCTATGATTCTATGCTCCCAGTGACTGTTTCCTGCCAATTGAGCAGGTAATGTTGGGGGACATTGGTTGGTTACACAGCTCAGGGGATTACAACTATAAATCATGCAGAATCATTCTTTCCTTCCATCTTCCATTCCTTTTTTTCCTTCTTTCCAGTCTATGCTTTTAAAGTGCCACAAAATCAGAAGTGTTTGAGCTAGATATGAGTCTATATTCTGTTGTTTAACCTGAATAGGGACTACAATAAATGATATTTATTTAAGTGTTGACTTGCCATTCAACAGTTAAGTGAATGGGTCTACACTGATTGAGCCTTGCAAACAGGATTTCAGTCATATTTATTTCTCAGATCATGTAGGCATGAATATATGTCACATCTTCATTGCCTTTTTTCTATCTTTTGTTGTACATAATTGCTCACATCCCTCCACCTCACTGCTCTACAATGCAGGCACTACCAACTCTGTGTTAATTACTTAATGTATGAATTGATACCATGGCTTTCTTGTTGCTTGGGATCCAAGGTGGCTTATGTGCAATTAAAATATTTGCAGCCTCAAAAGATGGTTTTACTCCCCCAAGACCATTATATGTTATCTAGATATTTCACTGTTGAAAGCACACTCCAAACCACTTTTAGTTAAGTAGGATCAGAAAAGGAGTGTTTCCATACTTTTGTCTTTAACATCCATTGTGTATTATCTGTGTGACTTTTGTTTCCTCTCATTTGAAAATAAAGGCTTAACGATGAGGAAAGATTTGCTTATATTGCATTACTAAGACTGTCAGTGCGTAAATAGAACTGAAACAAGGAGAAGTACACTCATGGTCATCATATTAGTTGTACAGATTTTTAGATCTCCTTCAAGTATTGTAGTAGAGGTTCCAGTGGCATGTCTTGTCCATGACGGAAAGGTCGAAATGCTTTATCAATTTTCAGTGGGCTAAGGCACAGGTCATAAATTTGATTGTAGTTATGGATCAAGCGCTTTGCTTTCTCTTTTTCCAACTTTCCTGCATTTATTTATTCAAAGAAAGAGAAAGAAAGAAAATTTATTTTCCCACTTACACAAAAACAGACTTGAATATTAAGAAAATAAATCACATCCTTCTTGGAGAATTCTTGGAGAATTTGTCATCCTCAGACTAAGCTCTAATTTACACCAAATACATAGTTTGCTGATATAGGAACAAATTCAATGCTCCTGTTTCCCCTTCACTGTAAGGCTTTATTTTTCCCCCCTGGTTTACAGCAAACATTTTAAGTCTACACCAGGTTTTATTAGTTTCAACATGGCCATTGGGAGGGAGATAGGAGGGCCTGTTGTCAAGTCTGTAGCCAAGGGGGGGGGGGGGTTACAGGTTCAACACCCTCACACATTCAGGACTAAAAAACTGGTTTACTCATGGATTGTAACTGGTTAACCAAATCCCCATACTAAGTCTATAAGAAGCAGAAATTAGAGTTCCTCCTGAACTGCAAGCACTAACCCATTATAATGATAAAGAAAATAAGAAGAAAGCAGAAGAAAAACAGAAACTTCTGCTAATTGTGGAAATATTTGTCTTTGTGACCAACAAGAACTGGCTTTACGAGGGAGCAATGATTCAAGATCTATTAGTTGTGAAGAACCTTTGCACAATGATGGTAATTTTGTGGCCTTGTTGAGATATTGTGCCAGATCAGGAGACGCTGACCTGAAACTGCACTATAAATTCCTGGAATACTATTTCTCAAATAAAAAAACGAATGAATAGACATTTGTGATGAGAAAATGGTCCAAAAATTGTTGAAAGATGCAACACATTGCAGTGTTCCATTTTCAGACCCATTTGGATCCCAACCCTGATAAGTTGTAACTAAATAAAGTTGTGGCGTTTTGTTACTCAGTATGGTATCATTGATGGTTATTATGGCCATTATGCAGAAGGCAGTCAACATTCACAATTATATGGGAAAGAGCAGAGCTGCTTGTTAATATTGGGTTCATCATTCCCCTAGTTATCATCCATGCTTAAGAATTTTGGGTGAACTAACATGAACAATAATGTCCATCATTTCCAATAATTTCATGTTGACTAATCCCCCCCCCCCAATATATAAACTGAATATGCAATTGACATGAATCATCATAGGTTATCAATCATTGCCGATATGAATTGATATGAGATAAAACCAAAATACAAAATCTAAAAATGCTTGTTGCATCAATCCACTATCCACTACCTGTGTTTTTGACATCAGACAAATAGAGAGCTTTCTCTAGTTTTCTAAAGCGGTCTATCCAGGCATCCCGTTCCTCAAAATCACTGGAATCAGATGTGTCAGGATTCATTTGCTCCCAAGGTTTGGTAGAAAGATCTCTGTGATGTTTGTTGCCCTTCTTCACAGGAAACAAATGACATCACCGTAAGGTTAACATTTGGACATCTTTCCATCCCAATTTAGAGAATCAAGACAGACCAGAATTTTTTGGATTAAAGTTCTCAGAATCTTCCCACCAGTCTAGCAATGGTCAAGCTGGCTGGGGGATTCTTTAATGTTGTAGTCTTAAAATATTTTCAAGTTCTGAACAAGACAATCTAAAGTTATATTTTATACGATTGCACTAAGGGTAGAAGAGGATGGCTGCAGTAAGCAGTTGAGGTGATTAATATTAGTGGCAATATTAACACTGGCAAGCAATCCTCTGTACAAATCAAACTTTATTAAAGATCCACAGATTTATCTATATAATTTTGACAATACCTGATTATCTTCATCTTTCTCCTTATTTCTCCCTAAGATAAAAACAACTGTGAACACTTTGATTACTTAGCTGAAAAATACAGTTCTCATTTCTCTGAAATCAGTTACTCATAGGTAAACATTATGAAGAAGCTAAATATTCTCTTGTTCTTTCAATGTGAAACCCCAACAAAGAATTAGAATAACTCATCCTCCTAACTTACCGGACGAGGCAGTTGCTGTCCAGGCTGGGTGTAAAGTCCAGCAGCCACCCCCCCACCCCCCCATCCCCCGCATGGCTCTCCTCCTTCCCAGCAGGCTCTGAGTAGGGGAGCCCAAGAGGAGAGAGTGGGAAAGATAGTCAATCAGTTTAAACCTGAAGGTTCAAATTGATGGATAGAGATGGACTTGAGGGAAGACTGTTTTCTCAGGTCCACCAGTCAGAAATATAAGGCAAATGCTGGGGTGTCTCCTTGAGGTTGCCTTCAAGCTTTCATCCCACCCCACCCTCCATCCCTTAGAAAGGTTGATTTCCCCATGGTTTTTTTTACATGGGCCCTGGATCCAGTATCACTGACATGTGCCCTCCCAGCAACGGGTATGGCATATGAAGTCCCTCCAGGGATCAGTGAGTGTGAGCTCTTGGAGGTCTGGATTAGCAGCTTGATAGATGCATCCATAGCATCCTCCCATTAGTGACAAGAGTAGAAACAAATGTAACGAAAATGGTTTCAATAGAAACTGACAATGCAAAAACAATTTTTAGGGTTTAGGGCAATACCTAATTTACCTTACAGTCAGTTATTACTTGATTGTAAGGTACTTGTTGTTGTGTTATGAATATAATCCTGACAGTTGTGTTGTGTATATATATTTGACATTTGTACTATTCTCCTTTTGATATTTATGCAGACTATGTTTAGGAGTTACAGTATAGTAACAATTAGAACCCAGTTGGGACTGCAAAGCAAAACTAAAAATTGGTTTTGTATTGCCAATTTCTATTGAAACCATTTTCGTTGCATTGCAATATAGTTATCTGTGCATAAGAGTAGAGTAGAAGTAAATGCAGCAGGCCCCAGTTGCCTCTAACAGGTTATATTGGAGTATTGCACTGGCTAAAGCGATGATTCAGGACCCGTGTGCAGTTGCCAACCCTTATTATCAGTTATATCCACTAAAAGTTGTGGTAAATCCCATTATTTACTTAATTACTTACTTACTATATTTATACCCTGCCCTTATCATCTTGGAGGGGACTCAGAGTGTCTCACAAATCATGGCAAAAATTCAATGCCGCATAACACACACAATAAAAATATAGTAAGCAATTCAATTTGCAACAGTTAAGACATATAAAAACAATAAACAGATTAGAAACCAATTTAAAATGAGCAGTGAGAGGGAAGAATTGGGGATGGGCAGTAGTCAAATGCTAAGTAAAATAGCAGAATTGATTAAAGGAGAGGCTGAAAGACAAACAAAGGAAATGAACTTGAATTTGAACCTGATGTTTGATAAAGAAAGAGAAATAAGGAAGGGCGAAATTCAGGCATTGAAGCAAGAAATTCTGACCAGCAATAAAGAAATGAGAGCAGAGTTGGACGCGGAACGAAAAAGCTCAGATGGAAAATTTCAGACAATAAGAGAAGCCCTGGAGATTGCACAGGGAGAAATACGAAAAAACAAAGCAGAAATTGAAAGAAGTACACAGGAACAACTGGTACTCAAACAACAAACGCAAAAAAATGAAAATAGGCTCTCTGATGTGGAAAGAAAGTTTGTGTACATGCAAGACAACCAAAGAAGAAACAACGCAATAATAAAAAATTATCCAGAAGGAAACAAGAAAGAAGATCTGAAATCTGAGATCTTGAAATGGTTGCAAAAGATTTCGCCAACACTAAGCTGGTCAGAACTGGATATTGAGAGAGTTCATCGCCTTCCGGCTGGAAGAAATAGAATAATTCCTAGGAACATAATAATTCGATTTCACAATTTCGCAAAGAAAGAAGATTTGATGAAAATATTAAAGAAAAATCCAGATCTCCTAAAGATGGGCGACTCAAAATTGGAAATATTTAATGACTACTGTCCTGAAACTAAGAACTGGAGATACTCAATGAAGCCTATTACGACGCAGTTAATGAAAGCTGGAATTGTGTACACCTGGGGATACCCTATCTTTCTTAAATTTCAATGGAAAGGCAAGAGATATAGAATCGACACACTGGAACAAGGTTATCAATTACTGGAGGAGCTTGGCATAGTAAGAAGACAAGAGAGAGATCGAAAGGAAGAGGAGGTGAAGGATCCGGATGGAGGAGAATTGGAGGAATTAATCGGTGCCGTTGGAGGAATCGAGATGTAAGAAGAAATTATACACTGCAATCAAGTTTTTTTGTTGAATTAAAATGAGCACTCGGGGGGAGGGAGACTCTGGGCCACGGGATGACTTCGCCCCCCCCTCCCCAATTGGGAAGGCCGGGGGCCATGATTGGGACGAGTAGTCCCGACGAT